AGGAAAGAGAGCAGGACACAGACAGTGAGAGGAGCGCCCTTGGCCCACGGGTGGCGCTGGGACCCGAAGCAGCCCCGGTCCGGTGCCCAGCGATGCCAGCTCTGTGTGCTGAGAGACAAGTAGCAGAGCCACGTGACCGTCGGGAAACCTTATCTACCGCAGTCTCTGTGCTCAGAGGCGGGACCGTCATCACCTGTAGCAGAGATACAGCAATCGCTCCTACTACCTGATGGGTTTGGCCAAAATATGACAGCGTAGGACACGAGACAGATTTTCTATCGTGTCTGTTCTCCTGAAGAATCTATGACAAGTGTGTTAGCGGGGTCCCCCTCCTTAGAGAAAGTGGGGCAGCTGAAGATGGGATCAACGGACTGCATTAGGACGGGCGACATAGCAGATATCAGCAACTGGGAACTGCAGGGTGTATGAGAGGTTTCACGTGTGTTCGTGCAATTGTCCATCCCTCAGACAATAGTCCACGTTTGGGGATCGGCTGTTGAGATTATTTGCATTCAGGAAAAGTGTGTGTGTGTGTGTGTGTGTGTACGTGTGGGTTTGTGTGTCGAGCAAATTTAAATCTATGTGATAGTTGTTTCAACTGATTTTAAAGGTCAGTTGATTAGCTTTACAAAAATGAACTGCATTGCATCTCTTCGGCTTTCTTGTTTGGTGTGTTAATATTTACAGAACGTCTTTGTCAGTGGTAATTAAGAGCCTTCTAAATTGCTGTTTACTCTTTTAAAACTATAAATCATTAATACATTGGAGTGAAAAAAAAACTCGGGGCCCAAGGCTACTAATATGAAAATTAAAAGTTGGTCCCAGGACACACCTGTGAGTCCACTACCCCACCCGTGAAAGACATTTGTTCACAAGTTTTGGGTTGTCTTTGCAGAAATTGTCTGCGTGTATGTGTTTCATGTTAAATGCACTGAAGTTATCCCTGGACATGATATGGGCAGTGGATGCCAGAGTTTTGGCTTGGTTCTGGGCTTTTCCAGCACAAGTCATGTGGACGTGGATAGTTGTGTCTTGGAATGTGTGTGCGAGCCTGTTTCTGGGGTGCAGACCTGAAACTCATTTCCAGGGTGTGTGAATGTAAGCTTTGCACATGTGATTCTCAGGATTTGGTCCAAGTTTACAGCCCCACTGGAAGTATATACAATCTGAATTCATTCACGTCCTGACCAACAGATGGTGTCATGGCTTTTTGCTGATCTCATAAGGTACCAGTCTTATTGTTAATTGGTATCATCTTTCCTCCTCTTACACCAATAAGCGCGGGCATTTCATCTCGGCTTTAAGATGAGCGTCTCTGGCATCTTCTCAAATATGCGTGAGTTGTTTTGCTAGTGGCTGCCGACTCGCCTTTGCGGTGCCCGTGGCACCAATGACCGCTGTCGTAAAGAGCTACTAAAATGGCCCCTTTTTCCACATCTTCCCCAGACCCGCTCATCCCCAAATGGTTAGACCTTTGGCGGTCTGATAGATGAAACGCAGTATTTTGTCACTTCCATCAGTGTTTCTTCAGTTATAGCAACTTGTTAAATATTTGCAAGATGGAAACATTTTAAAGCATCTTCTTTCGCTAAAGTATTTTAACACTCCACCTTACCAGGTACCCCGCCACGAGCA